AGTTAGTAGTTAGTAGTTAGTAGGTAGTAGTAGTAGTAGTAGTAGTAGTAGTAGTTGTAGTAGTAGTAGTAGTAGTAGTAATAGTAGTAGCAGTAGTAGTAGTAGTAGTCGTCGTCGTCGTTGTCGTCGTCGTAGTAGTAGTAGTAGCAGTAGTGAGTGGCGGCGGTGGCGGTTTCGTTTCACTCGCAGCTAGGGAGTCCAAGAATCGCGTTCAGAGTTGTGCCAGGACAGCGATTACGCCGGCCCGCACATATGGCTTGGTATGCACGTGGCGGTGGCTGTGCCGGTGGCGGTGCCGGTGGTGGTGGTGGCGGCGGCGGCGGTGGTGGTGGTCGTGGTCGTGGTCGTGGTCGTGGTCGTGGTCGTGGTCGTGGTCGTGGTGGTGGTTGTGCTGGTGGCAGTAAGCGCAGTCGCAGTCGCATTCGTGGTCGTTGTCGTTGCCCTTGTGGTGGTTGTTGTTGCTGCTGCTGATTATGATTTGCTGATGATGATGATGATGGTGATGATGGTGATGGTGATGGTGATGATGATGATCATCATCATCATCATGATCATGATGATGATGTTGTTGTTGCTGCTGCTATTATTGCTGCTGTTGTTGACGCTGCTGTTGCTGCTGTTGCTGTTGCTATCCTTAAAATGCTATCAGTGTTACTTGTGTTGGTTTTGTGATTGTGAACATGGCTGTTGTTATTGTCATTGTTACTGTTATTGTTATTCTTACTCTTACTATCACTATCAATATCACAATTACTGTCACAACTACTTCCTGCTACTAGCTATCACCATTACTATCACAATCACAAATACTATTTATCACATATACTATCACTAATTATCACTACCAGTATTACAATTTCTATTACTCTTATTACTACGATTGCGACTACTATTACCATCACTGTTGCTTTCTTATTTCTACGATTACTACCAGATTACTACTATTATTGCTGTTGTTATTCCTGTTATCAGTGTTCTTCGTCCTCTTCCTCTTCCTCGTCCTCGTCCTCTGTCTACTCCTCTTGCTCTTGCTCTTGTAATAGTAGAAAGAAGTAGGTAGCAAATAGAACGAGCAAGCAGCAGTCGTAGTGGTCGTGGCAATGGAAGCGTCTATAGGGTTATAAAGGCTTCCTCTCCCAGACTGGCAACAGCCTCCTTCAACAGCTGCGGGGGCGGCATCTTTCCCATTGCTTTCAACCTGGCCTTGGCACGACCAACTGCACGCAACTATCCGCGCTCGTGCTGGTCCAAACAGCTCGGGATCCATGCCACCTCCAACCGTGCTGCATCCAGGCGAACAGCCTTCGCATGATGTGGAGGGTGGAGGATGAAAGGGATTGAGAGCAGGCTAACCAAAACTTTGCCAGTGTAGACCCCAAGCAATACAAAGAGCTGCCACCCAAGAACCATGCGAGATACACCCAGTGAGTTCAACATGCACACCACACTGTTGCACCAACGCTTGGCTCAGCCAAGGGACAGCGGCGACGATTTCCACCCGGAAATACGCACGACACTGCGAGAGCGAGGTTCGTCAAGTTCGGGAACGAGAAGGTACTAAGATGTTTGTATGAACTCGGCGTCTGCCGGGCCCCAGCAGCAGCCTGAGCCGCTAAGGCCGCCTTACTTCGTTGCTGGCCTTGCTTTGCTGTCTTTGCTCTCAGCGCCTTTCGACTTCTTCCTTCCTTTGTGTCGCGGCCGAAGTAGTCAGCACCACCGGCCTCACCGTGCGTCGCACCGTCCTTGCAATGCCGATCACAACACAACCTGCTTCTCTGCCTTCTGCAGCTGATGTCGTTGCTGCAAATGAGAGAAGGTGGGTTGGTTGTGCCCTTTATCGTGCGTTGGCCCTGTTATTCCATTCTTTTGTAGTTTGCAGGGCTGTATCGCTGCAAACTTGGCCGAACAACTTTTAGGACTTGAGAGTCGGGAACCTCTCAAGGACACATGTCTCACGAGTAGGGCTTCCCCAACTCGAAACATTGAAAACTTGAGCGTATCAGATGGTTGAACCCTAAACCCTAAACCCTAAACCCCAGGAACTCATCGTGAAAGTTTGAAGCCACGGCTGACAGGCGCCGTGAGACGGGCGCGGGGTGGAGGGTGCGGGCGAGTCCACAGGCCGTCTCGGAAGTTCGAGACTGAAAGATCGACAGGTTGGAGTTTCAAAGCTTGAGTCTGAGAATGAAAGTCTAGAGCTTTGGGAAGTTCAACAGTTGAAGATACAGTGCTGAAAGTTTAAAGGTTGAAAGTCAGAGGAGTTCGAAACTTTGAATTGCTCAATGCTTGAAGCTTGAACGATTGACAGACACAGAGCTTGAGAGTTCGATCACTTCAAGGTCTCAGAGCCTTAGACTTTGGAGCACGAAATACTTGAAAATTTGAAAGATGGAAAGTCGAGATTGAAAGTGTGCAATTTGAGAGATGCTCTTGTGTCTTACGTGTTTATTCTCTAGCATTCATGGCCCATGTCTTGCGTATGGGATCGGGGCCTACAAGCCGAGTTTCGAGGTGCCAGAACGGCCTAAACCCCAAGCAACACCTTGAGTCAGGCAGGTTTTGCGTGCATTCGTTGGAGCCAAGGCGTGACTCCTACACCCTAAACCCCTTTGAGTTGTCGGGGTTCTTCGAGCGCAAGTCTTGCTTGCCCAAACCCAAGGTCTAAGCCGTAGCCTTCGGAACCCACACTCTACATCATGATTATAGCCTGAGGCCAAAACCTTCATGCCTTAAGGTAAACAGCTAATCAACCGACATCGCCTAATGATGGGGCGGGCGTCAGCTCAACACTTGTTACGGCCGACGATATATCATTAACCGCCACGCCATCGCCTGATGCAGAGGCGGTAAAATGTGATTAGACCGCGTCGCCTAGTGAGGGGCGGGTTTCGAAACGCTTGGATCGCCTCGAGCCTTGTTATGAGACTGAGAATGGGCGTAGCGCAAGCCGAGCGTGAGTGACATGCATACACCCCTTCTAATTTCAGGGGCGTTTAAAGTTTCCCCACGCTATACCTTCGAACTGTTGAAATCTTCCGAACTCTCAAACTTTCCAACCTGGAACTCGCGAACCTTAAAACTGCCGAACTCGACAACCTGTAAGCCTGTACACTTTCGAACTTCCAAACCTGCTCAAACTTTGCAACTCTCAAACTTTCAAAACACAAGAACTCCCAACCTTTCCGGAACTCTCGACTTCAAAGGCGTGCCGCAGCGAACTTGGAGCGATGTTTCCAAGCTCGAAGCTTTCGAACACTCTTCCGAAATTCTTTGCAGCGATCGAACAAGGGATCGTCCGAAGTTTCGAGGTTGAGTTCGAGGCGGCGAGTCGACAGTTTGACAGCTTGAATTCTCGGCAGTTTGACGCCGGCTCACTCGTGCATATTAAAGCCTGCCCAACCAAACAATTTGGGGTTTAGCCAATACGGAATCCAGTGCGCGGGCCGCCCCCGCATCCTCCCGCCTCGCTGGAGCCCTTGGGGTAGGGGTTCAGCGCCTCCGCGCGGAAACTGAAAGCAAAAATCTTTAAAAATCGCGCAAAGAGAGCATCGCAGAGCGGCGCTGCAATGCCGGGCCTCGACGGGGCTGAACTTCGAGGAGCGAGCGGAGCGAGCGGAGTTGGACTTCTCCGTAGCCTCGCCGTTCGTCTCCTCTGCAAAAAGCCAAAAAAAAAACAGCACATGCCTTTGCCTTTGCCGTCGCCTTTCTGCGAAGTCACAGACACTCACAGCCGTCCTCGGTTCCCGGTCTGACATCAATGACCTCCCTGTCAAAGTTGCTATCCTGCAAAGGCTCATCCGCAGAAAGCAAGACCTGGGTTTAGGTTCACTTGCAGACTTTCTGTGCTGCAGCGTGCCTTGCTCTTCTTACTCTTGCGATCCTGCGGATCCCAAGGCGCCGTGCAGGAATCCACATCAAACTTAGGTCCCGGCGTCGGAGCTTGAATCCTCCATGACCCCGTGGCATGAAAACTGCATCAAAAAACGCACCCACGGCACAAAATCCCTAGACACACGCAATCCTTGGCTCGACGGGCTTTGCGTTCTCGATCACGCTCGCGTGCTCGATCAGGGCTTCGCCTGCACATGCGATCCGAGCTCGCCTTTTGTTCCCAGCGACACTGCGCTTGCCTAGATTTTTGAAGCTCGACGTCAGTAAAGCGTTACGCAATGTATCGTGACAAAAGCCTCGGGCTCGGACCCTTCTTAATCCCTGTGTTGCCAGCCTCCTCTCCGGAGATCGCCTCCGGTCGGGAGATCGCCTCCGTCGCACCTCACAGGCTTCCAGCTTTCAGGTCTTTACCAGCTCCGATCTCGGAGATCTCTCCACGCGCACCGGCAGCGAGCTCGAACTCGAGGCGCGCTGACGCCTACCGGTCGGCTTCGCAAGTGACCAAGTGCCACACAGAAACGTTCGGTCAAAGCCCTGCCACATCTAGAAACCGAACCTGCGGTTGTCTCGCTGCCTTCGGCGGCTGTCGGAAGAATCTGCCAAGCCCATGCACATCCAGCAAATCGCTCCCTATGTGGCTCGTGCAACAATGCGCTTGAGTCGAAAGTGCACTTGCTAGTACTGCACTTGCTAGTACTAAGCTGAAAGCGGAGGTGGCCGCTGGCCTCCACCTCCTTCACGTGTTATGGGGTCGTCTCGCCGATTTGTTCAGCCAACGGAGTTACAACCGCCGCCGGCTTACGAAAAGTCAAGGTGACGTTGTGGGTTCGACTTCGACGGCCTCCATAAGATCACCGGATCAAAAAATGCGCAGGCCATAGGCTTTAATGTGGGGTGGACTGTCGCCCTTACTTTGAATGTTCCGCTGCCCTACCATCGACTCCTATGGCTTGGGCGTGCCTTTGCGTCGCCGCTTGTCGCGGTCTCGCCTCAGCATTGCAGTGCCAGTCTGCACTGCACTTCCAGCAGCAAGAAAAGGTATCGGGACAGGAAAGGATCCAGCGATCGTTCTCGATCTTTGGAACGATTGCGCGAGCGTGACTTCGCTTTCCTGACCAGGGCACATATAGGCGTGTAGCTGCAAATTGCCAGCATCTCTCGCCTTCCTCTGTTGAAGGCTACAAGACGAATTCGCGAAGCACGAGCACTTTTCCAAGAAGCAGATCTCGTTACCTGTCCGCACCCACAATCGTCTGCGCGATGGACCGGAGCGGCCACTCACATCACCACCACTCAATCTTCAGGAACGCGGCTTTTCCTGAGGCAAGCACCCCTCCGGCCACACAGCTGGAGCAAGGACAGCTCCAACGGACACGCACGCCGAGCCTTCTTGTTCCTGTACAGAGCTCCCAGGCCACAGCCTGCCACCTGCGAATCAAACAAAAACAAGGCCTCGCTGCTCTTTTCATTGTCGGGACTGGACACTCGTGCAAGCTGTCCCTTGCCCCTCCTTCACGACCTTGAAGCGAACGCCAGGAATGTCACCAACCTACGTCAACGCACCGGGCACATGAAGCCGTTGATACTGGCAAAGCCCT